AGAATCACTCAATGTTCTATATAGTGAAAGTCTTTTGTGTAATATATAAAGCAGAAATTGATTTTCTTCCTATATGTTTGTTGTGTATCATGGACAACTCTGATAGCGAGGGACTAGAGTTTGGAAATCACTGCATTAGAAGGACTTTACATTGTCCACAATGCTGGAAAACGACTTTTCTCTGTCAGTCATATAGAGAAGCAAGAAGGCTTTCCAAATTACTATTTATTATCTCTGTCAGCACTTACCAGCTAGAGTAAGATAATTATATCATCAGTGGCATCTACATATACAGTTTCTAAGAGCTCCCAATCAAAACTATATTGTAGCAGCTGCTATTACAATATACAATTGCACATGGAAATGCTCCTCATTGAGCTTAAGTACATGCCAATCTTCTGAAATAACACAGCTCAGCTTAGTTTCTGGTCTCCTGGGTATTTCAAAGCCCAAAGTGACAGAGAAGGTTCTCAGGGGGACTGATGTGTATCTGTGAGCAGAATTCATGACAAACTCTCTGTAATGTGAGAATTAGTCAAGATAATAAGAAAGTACAGAGCAAAACTAGTCTGAGATACTTGACCATATCATTCTGAATAAACAACCCCCTGTATATATAACTGAATAAGTGCAAGGTTTGTTAGGAGTGTGATAGACCTGAGTGATAGAACAAACCATGTTCAGACTACAGCAGGGGTTGGAATAGTATAACACACCATATATTACTGAACTACAACTCTTAGCAACTCTAGTCAACAGAGCCAATGCCGAGGAATCCTGGGAGTTGCAGTCCAACAACACATGATTCTTACTCCTGAATTACAGGCCATGAAGTCCTGCCCCATCCTGCCCTTGATTCTAGGTGGTCTCTCTAAGATACAGTCTTTGAGCTGCTGTTTTAGAAGACTATAGTGGAATAATTGCTTGGTTAATATTGGGAGGTGTCAGAATTACAGAATAGATTACCACAGTCTTGATATCCTCTCCCTTCACTTCATAGTTCAAACACTGAATATACAGTTTCTTTCTTCACACAAGGAGAAGTGGCTTAAACATATGAACAGTAGGCTTGGGTAACCACGGAAAATTTTGGTTCTAAACTCGTTTCATTTTTAGGGGGCCCTTGCAGTTTTTTTAATAATTCCAAAATTTTGCTTTTAAAAATTTCGAAATATACGAAATTTTGTATAATTACGAATCGATTCGTTAATGGCGGACGCGATTGTGCAATATGCTAAAAAAACCTCCAAATGGGACAGGGGGAACTTCTGAAGCTTCCCTCTCCCTCTGTTGTTGACTGTTGGTGTGATAAAACAAACAACAACTATAAAACTTGCACCAGACATGCCAAAATAATTACGAAATAATTACGAAATAATTACAAAATAATTACGAAATAATTACAAAATAATTACGAAATAATTACAAAATAATTACGAAATAAATTGAAAAAATTGTTTCGAATCTAATTTACTCCTCACACTATTCCTGCATGGCTCAATATTGGATCATAAGCTAATTTAAATACGAATTAATAACGAATTACGAAAGTAACAAACGAAACCGCCCAAGCCTAATGAACAGGTCTAATTTCCCCCTCTTCTTCTCACTACTCTTTTATGTGTTAGTCAGACCTTACCTGGAATATTTTTCCCAATTCGTAGTGTTGTAGAGTTTCCTTTTAAAAAATGTTTTTAAAATAGAGACTGGATGGCTATCTGTCGAGAGTGCTTTGATTTGGTATTTCTGCAAGACAGGTGGTTGGTCTAGATGGCCCTTATGGCTTCTTCCAATTTTATGATTCTGTGATTTTTCATTTTTTTAAAAAACAGATATTTTGAAAAACAATTAAAAGCACCAGCATCAAAAACTATGTAGTGCTTTAAGAACTAATTTATTTCAGCATACAATCTTATGGAGTACAAACACCCAATCTTTTAAGGGTGTCTTGGTTTGAAATTTACATTCCACTTGCAATCATGAGATGACCTTTTACAACCCTGTGTTGGCTTTCATATCCGATTTGTGCCCTGGTCGTTTTGGGTGTTCTACCCTTCAATTTGGCTAAGCGTCCCAAACCATGAAAGAGTTTAGAAGTGGTTAGCTTGGTTTTCATCTTCTCAGCATGAACAACAAATATGTGAAATTCACATGTCCGAGGACCTACATTTGAACTCTGGCTAGAGAAGGCAGGAAGGCTCTTAGCCTAATTCTGTTGAAAATGCTTTTGTTATAGTACTGACCAAACCTCAGATGTCTGCAACTGTGAAAAACAAGATCTGTTCAGTTAACACACATACACCCTCCACTCCTGCTTTTGAACTGGGGCATTTGTGGGAAAATGCTGCAGAAAACCTACCCATAATGTCCTGACCATATTTCTATGTGACTTTATGGTTTCTTATAAACACACCATGCTTCTAAGTCCTTTGGGTTCACTAGGAAGGAATCTGTACCTTTTAGTGATACTGATGACACCTCTATTGTCTGCTGGCAATGCTTTTGTTTTTCAATGGCAATACCAGACCTGTGGGAAGCCATCTAAGGTTAGGCTGCAGTGTCTTATTCTATTTTTAATAACATTTTTCCTTGCTATCATCTTTCTTACATAAGACATGCATAATACAAAACCAAAAGTAAGGAATTGGAAAATCTTCTATTACTTGTTTGAAGAGAAGGATGGCCGATGGTGCAAATCTTTAAAAGGAGGTCTTTGCTTCCTTGGAAACTGGAATGTTGACAAACCCTTGGAGATTTAGATCTATGTACACTAATAAGACAGTGCACATTTCCAGTACGATCACTGCTGCCATTAATGATTTGTCTGCACTTCAAATTCTGTAATTTTGGCACTGCTGTGAACCCCAAAGAGATGGTCAACTTTATCAGTTTATGAACTTAAGACTCTCCTCATTAAATGGAAGGTCTCCACTCCTTCTAGCATCCTCAGATATATCCATTGACCAAAGACAGTAGTATCTCTGCAGGGTGACTGCACTTGTCATTCTCTTAGCTGCGTAGAGGTGTATATTCAATGAAAGGGTTTCATAGAGAAAAGGAACAGAAGAAAATATCTTTATGTCAAGGCTTCAAAGCAAATATGAATGTCTGTGGCTTCCCTGAGGAAAATTGTGGAAGATCCAATCACTGAGATTTCCTAATCTTGCATGTAGTTATAAATTCGTGTGGCAGAGATGCTTTGTTTTGAACATGGACATTACTCAAGTATAGAATCATAGAATCCTAGAGTTGGAAGAGACCTCATGGGCCATACAGTCCAACCCCCTGCCAAGAAGCAGGAATATTGCATTCAAATCACCCCTGACAGATGGCCATCCAGCCTCTGTTTAAAAGCTTCCAAAGAAGGAGCCTCACCACACTCCGGGGCAGAGAGTTCCACTGCTGAATGGCTCTCACAGTCAGGAAGTTCTTCATGTTCAGATGGAATCTCCTTTCTTGTAATTTGAAGCCATTGTTTCACGTCCTAGTCTCAAGGAAGCAGAAAATAAGCTTGCTCCCTCCTCCCTGTTGTTTCCTCTCACATATTTATACATGGCTATCATATCTCCTCTCAGCCTTCTCTTCTTCAGGTTAAACATGCCCAGCTCCTTAAGCCTCTCCTCATAGGGCTTGTTCTCCAGACCCTTGATCATTTTAGTCGCCCTCCTCTGGACACATTCCAGCTTGTCAATATCTCTCTTGAATTGTGGTGCCCAGAATTGGACACAATATTCCAGGTGTGGTCTAACCAAGGCAGAATAGAGGGGTAGCATGACTTCCCTGGATCTAGACACTATACTCCTATTGATGCAGGCCAAAATCCCATTGGCTTTTTTTGCCACCACATCACATTGTTGGCTCATGTTTAACTTGTTGTCCACGAGGACTCCAAGATCTTTTCACACGTACTGCTCTCGAGCCAGGCATTGTCCCCCATTTTGTATCTTTGCATTTCATTTTTTTTCTGCCTAAGTGGAGTATCTTGCATTTGTCACTGTTGAACTTCATTTTGTTAGTTTTGGCCCATCTCTCTAATCTGTCAAGATCGTTTTGAATTCTGCTCCTGTTCTCTGGAGTATTGGCTATCCCTCCCAATTTGGTGTCGTCTGCAAACTTGATGATCCTGCCTTCAAGCCCTTCATCTAAGTCATTAATAAAGATGTTGAACAGGACCGGGCCCAGGACGGAACCCTGCGGCACTCTGCTCGTCACTTCTTTCCAGGATGAAGAGGAAGCATTGGTGACCACCCTCTGGGTTCGTCCATTTAAGTATAGATCTTCTCACTGTATTTGCATAATGCAAAAGGGATACATATGCTCAATTTGTCTGTAGTATAGAGCTTCTCATAATGCAATATAATTTAAAAAGGAAACATTCATCAACCTCAACAGAATTCAGTTAGAGTTGCTAGACGGCAATCCAGAAATTCCTTCTTTAATATTAAAATATGCTGCTTAATTAAAAGAGACTGCAATTTCACCATCTGACTGGGCATGTGGCAGGTTGAACAGAACAACCAAGGAAATACTTAGTAGAGAAAGATTTTGTTCCCTCTTATTTTGAAGCCATTCTTCAGCTTCTGACCTACGAACCTTGGTTCAGACACAAGCAGTTCATTAGATCACGTTTGTCTCTCAGGCTTTCTGGTCACACATCTGTTGAAACATTTATATGCTAGGAAATTGTCTGGGTTTGAATGTATAGCAAAGTGATCAGTCAATGACTAAGTCACACACAAGATTCAATACTTACCTCCTCTCTGACCTTAACAAGACCTTAAAGCAGAGGAAATTAAATCATTACCTTGAGTCTGGATTTTATTTTTGTCGCAGGAGCACTGACCTGTTCTCAGAAGTGAATCAATGAAATTAATGATCATATTTGTTTCATGCCACACTGAAAAAAAAAAAACACCCACAACTTCTTGTGGGGATTTTTCAAAAAGGGAAACTGTTTCATCTTCTTTTTCTTTCCAAAGAGCAGTAACATAATCCAGATCTTGTCAGGAATAAATAACCTTTATTTTGAATTTCACACAAAAGAGCACTGCCAAAGCAGACAGAAGGCTTTAGATGTTGTGATGTTGAAGTTTATACTACCAAATCGTTGGACTGCAATATTGCAACAACAGATGAGCCTTTCCACAGGAGAAGCACTTCACATGCAAAACAGATTGTGAGCAATCTGGCATATCTTTCATTAGCTGAGAAAACAGTGCACAGACATACACATTGGCTCCCTTTCAGACCAATCCTATGCATAATTACTCAGATGTGAGCTTTGCTCAACTCATGGCCTTACTCCTAAAAATGTGCTTATAAGATACAGCCTTAGGCTGCAATGCTATTTTTGTTAACTTGAGAGCAAGCTACATATATGGACTTTAACAGGACTTTTGAATAAACAGGCATAGCCTTTTACTGCCATACATCTGAATGAAGCCCAATACCATCATGAAGATAGACTAATGAAATAATTTTTAAAAAACCAGGATTTCTAAATAATCTACTATCCTTTCTTGTGAATTTAATTACCAGCCACACTAAAGAATTGTGGGAGTTCCCTTTACTAAAAATACTGATCATATTGTGATGAAAAAAACAATTGTGTTCTTGAACTACAACTTACTGTGTTCTTTTTGCTAAAATTTGGAGAAAAAAATTACCAAGAGGTGATGCAGGTAGGTGTTGGTGGATGAGTGAGTTACACATTAGGCAAAGGTATGATAGCAGAACAGGAGCCAGCAGAGTAACACCTTGTTCACTCATTTGTTCTCCAGACATAACTTATATTATGTCTGGCCTGTATTTGCTAGAATTAGTTATGTAAAGATGTTTCAAAATTAGTACATTCGCAGTCTGAAAAACATTTCTGCCCCCACTCCCCAATCTAATTTGCAAGAAATCTAGGATGTAAATATATAACAGAATTCTGATTTAAATTAGTAGGCCTTTGCATCACAGTGCTGAATAATTGGCTCACCATTTCACAGTGCTGTGAAATGGTGGGCCAATTATTACTAGGTTCTCATTCTCTCTCTCCCACCCACACCCCATTATGAGAAAAGAAATCTCCTCTCCACATACATCCTGAAATTCTACATGCAACTGTCTTATACACTCACATTCTCTCCCTTTTGGTTGGGAGAAATCATGCAAACTTCATCATCATGCAAAATCTGTGTACGCAGAAAGCTCTTTTGCATTGCATATTTATGAGAAGTACGTGGTGCTGCTGGTAATGGTGAGGGTTTGTGCATGCTCTGCCGCTACAGAAAGGTGCTTAGAGGCCATATCACATATGAACTAGGCAAAGGTGTCAAACAGAGAACATTTCAACAAACTCTCAATAAGCAAAGTGAGAAAATGCTGTCAACAATTACTAAGTAGTCTTATATTACCACCAAGGATCTAGGTAGCATTTCATTAGCAAGTTTCTCACTTAGCATCTGGCGTATTCATTTAAGCAATATACAGACATCTGGATTTTCTTTTCCTTACGTGTGATTTATTTGGTAGCCATTGGCTCACCACTTGATAATAATGACTTTGGTGGTTTGGGATAATAGCCAGCAGTCACTGAGCCACTGGAAGAAAATCTGGTGAATCTATAATCCAGTGGTAAATCTGAAAGAAACAAACATACGATGATTTTATTAGGTATGCAGCATATATCAAATCTAACCAATTCAAGTAAGCTAGAAAAAGCACTATTTTTCTCCTTTAAACTCTTTATATATGTGCTTATTATTCTAAGATTTAATCAGACCACATGATTACATACTGGGTGCACAGGTTTATATGTGTTTTTTTGTGTGAAGCTGATACTTTGGCTTATCCCATTGGGAATGTGAAATGTTGTTTACAAGAGAATAAATGTGCTTCTACACTACATGATTTTTGTATCATTTAGAAACAAATTGCCACTGCATTCTGTCACATATATACAATGTTATACAAGGAATCGCTGCTTAGTAGTAATAAAAAAGACCATATATACCAAGATATCAAAGGAAATGGCAAGGGGGATTCTACTGTCACTCCACATGTTTTGGTTAAAACTCACAAATTAGAGTGAACGAAGAGCAATATTGTGTTTCTTACAACCATACTATGGTAATGTCCTTGAAACATCTCTTCTTACAACAGTATAAAAAGCATATAATTTGACTTCAACAGAAGAATGAATGAATGTGGGAAAACATGTTTTGTTTCATAGTTCTGCTGCTATTTTGGTGAACTTTCTAAAATTAAGGCCCATGGGCTGGATGTGGCCCTCCAAGGTCATTTACCCAGCCCCTGCCCGAAACCTAAGTCTTAGGGTTGCCCTAAGTCTGAAATGACTTGAAGGCACACAACAGCAACAACTAAAACCTTAACTAACTTGACTATCTCATCAGCCAAAAACAGACCCACTTCCCATTGAAACACTGGTAAGTTTTTGTTGGTTAAAGCTGTTCTTCATTTTAAATATTGCAGTGTGCATAGGAAGTGATTCATTTTTTTTTCAAACGATAGTTAGGCTCCTCAACAGTCTGGATCATGAACTGGACCTCTGCTTAAAAAGTTCGAGGAACCCTGTTCTATTTGAAAAATATGCAACTGAGCCTTAAATAGTGTGATTCATTAGGTGGCACACATGGTTAGGAAAGACGGACAAATTTCAACTGATTGCAGATAAACTGCCTGAAGGTTTGCAGATCCTGCATAAAAATTATCTCTCAGAGAGCTACTGTCAATATTAGAGAAGATAAGCCCAAACTTGATTTCTCGTATGAATAGTTACATATCCTAGTATACTCATCAAAGAATGCATTGTTCACTTCTCTGATTCCAAGCCAAAATCAAATGGCTTCACAGAAATATAAATGTTATTTTGGCTTTGTGGCAGCTAGGCTTTCCTTTCATCTGAACACCCACAGCACTACTCATAATTGTCCTCTGCTGTGCCCCAAGAGCTCACTGTGTGCCACCTGAGCTGGGAGTTCCATCTTCTGTCACTATCTCTTGTTTCATTCCACATTGTCTCATCACAATGACATCATACTTCTGCAGAATATTAATAATTGTCAGCTATCATGCTACTGTTGTCTTTGATAGCACCTCTGCTAGCCCCATCCCGCAACTGTTGCTGCCCAGTATTAATTTGGCACATTTAGTTTGGCTCCTCAACAAAAACCTGTCCGACATGAGAGATCCTACCAGCTGTTGTCAGCACAACCAGCATGCGATCCCATCACCGCTGAAAGATAGGGTCATGAGTGGCACTATCATTAAATAAAGTACTCCACTCATGATTCTTAAAGTGTGTAAGAGGATAAAAATTAGCCTTCACTAAATATTTTTAACATTGAGTCTGTTCTCATAATCACTTTTGACTTTACCTCCCTGCCCTTTTTGCACAAATACTTTGTTTTGTTTTAGTGGTACGCTGCTATTAACTTTGAATCATCCCTCAATGATTTGATGCTGTAATCACTGATCCTACAAACAACTGGGCTATAGTGCTAGGAAGGCTACCTCAAGCTTCAAGAGTAATCCTTAGTAATCCTTAGTTTTAGGTTCTTTTAAAAAAGATGTTGATATTTGCACAAATGTATTTGCTAAGCAAAGCATCAAGGCACAGCTATTTACTATGGAGTTAAAAATGTGATTTTCTTTTAACGAAAGAGGAAGTTTTAATGCAATCAGGGAGGAGCAGCCACACCCTGACCCGAAAATAAGGACTAAGCCATTGGAGAAGGAAGTTGAGTCAGTATAAAGCATCTATCTATAGCTAAATCACAAAGAACAGTTAGAATCATACTGTTAAGAGAGATGCTCTTGGCAAGATTGTGAAATACTTTGGTTCTTTCTAAAAATGGATAACAGGTTGAAATCAAGGAACTGTAAAAAATAAATAAATAAAGATGTCGAAGACCAGGACAAGGAGAACACATATAACAGCATCCATTGTGACAAAGACTAATAGGAAAACACACTAAAGGGCTCCCTTATACTTTTTGACATTTTATTATCACAGGAACAGTGCTAAAATCTATTTTTGCCTGAATACTATTAGCAAACGTTAAGGCTACTAACATTCATTTGATTTTTCTTATTTTATGAGGTGCGGGAGATAACTTCTTAGAAGTCTGTGCCTTCTGTTTTTTAATGCACTGCATTTGTTCTTTCTTCCAGATTTTTGCAACAAGGGCATGCTGACACAATTCAGCACTTTCCGCACAGTATAGAGAAGAAACGGCCTATTCCTGCTGATTTAGATGTTTCTGAAGTTTCATTACATCTAGCCTCTTTGGAAGACTGGTAGGTTCACAATTGAAAAAACTAAAACAGTCTAAAGTATTTCTGACCTTAACTTTTTATCATAATAAGCACCATGCTTCATGCCTAGACTCACAGAGCAACCTCACAGTCTGAATCTGACAGATCTATTGTTTTGGAAGGGAGTGTATACTGGGGAGGGGGCTGTATTTAAAATACACCCATACAATGTAAATAGCAAGACACAAACCAAGTCAGTATCATCAGGGTTGAACAAACAATCAGGAATGAAGCCCTACATGAGTGTGCCAGAATTTTATACTTATTTTCTTTAAAATATTTATAAACTACTTTTCAGCTTCGGCTCTTAAAGAAGCTCATGAATAAAACATTAAAACAATACAAAGATCATGCAAGGATAATATACTAAAGTGGAAAATTGTTGATTATCAAAGGAAAAGTAGAGATAACAAAAAAAGAAACAAATAAAGTAGTGTGCTACAATTAAGAGTACTCATTTGGATGATCCTTTCATGTAACTATTGATGCATGCTGCAGAGTTCTTGCCATTTTGTCGGTAAACAAAACATAAGAGTATAGGGAGCATTAATCATTATAGGCGAGATAAAGAGTGCTACTGTAAAGCAGTGTTTCTCAACTTCTCCAAAGATCCAGCCAGGTTGGTCAATGGTTGAATATTCTGAAAACAGATCCAAAATATCTGAATAATAGATGGAGAAACAGGTTGAAAGAGGAAGGAGACATTTAAATTATAAACCAATGGCTTAAATCAAGAAATAGTTTTCTAAGATCTACAGAGATACTCGCAGGAACACCTCAGCAAGTGAGAGTCCAAAAGTGGCAGGCTAAAACCCAGAACCTCAAGCCATGACTGATACCGGATGGGAAACTCCTCCCCGAAGACTGGGTGACATGGAAGGCACTGAACAGACTGCGCTCTGGCACCATGAGATGCAGAGCCAACCTTAAGAAATGGGCGACAATGTGGAGTCCACGACATGTGAGTGTGGAGAAGAGCAAACAACAGACCACCTATTACAATGCAATCTGAGCCCTGCCACATGCACAATGGAGGATCTTCTTATAGTAACTCCAAAGGCACTCCAAGTGGCCAGCTACTGATCAAAGGACATTTAGTATAATGCCAAGATGGAATGGAAGGGAAGGCAACAAATCAAGAAAACAGCATTGTTTTCTTTTTCTTCCAATGCTGTTTTATTGTTTTCTTGCCTTCCCTTCCATTCCATCTTTTCACATGAGACAACATCCTGGTAAGATGGAGGACAAATACAGATGTACAGCTCCATCCTGACTTTCAGTATTAATTTCCAGACCTGGAAGCTAGAGTTGTTATGTCACTTTTCTGTGTCCCAGTGGTATGTCAGTGGGCAGGAGTTCTATTGGCTGGCAGGTACATATCCATTAGGGAAACCTCAGCAAGCATAGTTCTGCCTCTGGTGATGTTCCTGCTAGCAATAAGCCCCAAACTGGGGTTTGGGGATGAAATGGAGGCAGGTTTGGATCTACTGCAACTCAAATCAATCCTTGCATGGTCTTATTGTTTTAATATTTTATTCATGAGCTATTCTGAAAGCCAAAGCTGAAGAGTAGTTTATAAATATTTTAAAGAAAGTAAGTACAACATTCAGACGCTCTCATATTGCTGATTATTGGTCCCAGCTTGTTGTTGACTTGCCTCTTTTACTATTTACAGTGCATGTGGATATTGTAAATACCCCACCCATCCACTTCCTTTTGAAACAATAGCTCAGTTAATCTTTCTCCACATTTTCTGTTCTAGGCAGCATGAGCCAGCAAGGCTTGGGAACTGGCTGATAATTTGGATTCCCTTTGGACTGATCTGGATTATTATACATCAATTCATAGGAACATTTGTTTGGGCAGTTTACAAAAAAGATTTTCTTTTGTCTGATGTCTGGTGAAGAAACCCTTCTCATCTGAGGCGATTACAGGGATTACTTTGGATTATTTTGTTTTAATATTCTACAAAGCTCTAAGAAAATCACAAAAAAGATTTAGAAAAGTGCATTATGTTTCTGAGCAAGATTTCTGTTTGGATCTGATTATAGCTATTTGGAGAGTTATTTCTTTGAATGTTTGACTAACCACCAACTGAGGGTTCAATTCTGATAGTTTGTGATGTTAATCTGCTTTAATAATTCGTATGTTCATAAGTATACCGCGAGACACCAGTTTCAACCTCCCTATGTTTTAATTTTTTCCAAATAAAAAAAAAACACTTGATGGCTTCTTAGACATTTGAACTAGCACAAAAGAATTCCACGTGTAATAGAATCCTTTTTCAGTCAAAGTGTTTTTGAATTGATTGGAAGGAGGGATAACAGCACTATCAAATATAATTTAGATTGAAGTGGAAAATTGCCAAGGAATTGCAACACAGTTGGAATTTGCATTCAAAAAAGGAAACTTCTTGAAATGAAGGGACTGGGAAAAAGGAAGTTCAAAGGGAAAGTTCAGATTACTGAGCAGGAAAGTGTTCTTGAGGTTGCACTGGATAGCTCAATTATAAAATGTCAACTCGGTGTGCATTGGCCATGAAAAATGCAAATTCCATGGTGGGGATCATTACGAAAAGAAAAACAGAACTGCTGGTATTTGAATGCCTGTCTGAGACCACACTATAAATACTGTGTGAAATCCTGGCCACCACACTTCAAAAAAGAGCTCTGTTTTCTTGTCATTTTTGATGCTTGACTTTTCTGAACCTGTCATGCTTAACTCTTTAAAGTAGCTCTGAAAACAAATTAAAATTTTCTTGGGAATTCTCTGTCATCCTGACACAATACGATTGCCTCTGTTTGACTTGGGGACAGAACTGTAAATCTGCAGCTCAAGGAGTGTTTAGAGTTCTTGGAACTAATATTCATTGCAACTTATCAAAATTAGTTAAAAGAAACTATGTGGGAATTTTGATAGACCAACTCAATGACATCCACTCTTACCTGCTATTGCTTCAATACTTGGGATTGTGATGGTGCTATAAGCACCAACGCATTTGCACGGCCAAGTATTTACTAGGATTTCTTCTGCACCTCCCTTTCCTGAAATGCCATCCACAAAGAAAGAGCCCCACTGTTTAGATGCATAATTAAGAGCTTTTGGGTGATGTCTCTGAAACATAAAAGAACATGAACATGATGCACAACTCCTGATACATTCATGGAATATGTTCTGTGACTGTTGGTGTTGATGGTATCTTCACACACACACAAATCATGAACTTCTGTGCATTTAGAGATATCTCCAATACCTAAGTCTGTAGAGAAGGACTTGAATTCCCCCATGGATTGGCAGCATACTTTCATATTCTGTAATTCTTAAGCAGATCCAAACAAACTCAAATTCGATTAAATCAGCCCCAGCTAGAATTCTGTGATATATCCTTAGAATATTCATGGTAGTAAAACTACATTTACCTCCAAGAAATGCTCTAATACAGCTTGAAGGACAACTTAAAATCCATTTTATTCCAACAAATACACTACTTACTCAGCCTTACTGGCACTGGCCTTCTGCAGTTCCCTGGGGATTCAGACAGTAGTCTTTTCCATCCTTACTTGGATATGGTGGGCATTTAGAACCTAACATGAATGCTATCGGTGTGCCACAATCCTTCCTCTGCACAGAAGTAACTCAACTTGCATATCAGTCCGCTCTTACATACAGCAGATCTTCCAGATAATCATGATGTCTTTTCCTTTTTCAGGCACTAGTTTTCACGGGAAGCATGGTTTGAAGCTGTGGTTCCTAACCTTTTTTTGACCAGGGCCCACTTGCCCAGGGATCACTCTCCAATATTAGTATCAAAAGGGTTACAAATTAGTTTTTGGTCAACTTTAGATTCCATTTGGGGTACTGATTCACAAAATTGCATTGGATAGACTACATCAGTTCTAGTTTCTGATACAGGACATATGCCATGGCCGGCGACAGGGAAGGAGTGGAAATAAAATAAAATAAAATAAAATAAAAAGGAAGGAAGGAAGGAGGCTTGCGGACCAGATTGTCATCCTCGTGGCCCACTGGTGGTCCACAGCCCACAGTTTAAGAAACACTGGTTTAAAGAGAACTATCAGCATAGAAATGGTACATATACACAGGAATAAAAATACAATGATAGGAATAAGTTTCTGGGTCACAGATTATGGCCTAAAGTTTAAGGCCTATAAGTAGGCCTACCATTAGTCTGTCTCATACAACCATTTTAGAAGCACTGGAGACAATTTAATTAGATGTAACATCAGTGACTTCTGTCTGACATTTATACATACTGATTTTGTACTAGGGAAAAAGTATCCTCCCTTCACTTTTAATCTTGTAAGATGAAAAAGGACAAGTTGACAGGGATAATTTTAAAACAACCTAAAACATTGTGTAAGGATTAGAAGGAAGTCCCTTGGAAACAGTTTTTGCTAATTGGTTTATTTAGTTGCAGAGCCATGCCTGTAAAGTGCTCTTCCCCTTGTGAACTACCGCCCTGCACTGACCTACTATAGCTCTGCTCAATTCAGACTCCTTTGATCAATGCAATTGACTTCTTTTCTGATTTCACTGGTGATGGAAATAATAATGCAGCATAAGTCTCTTGCAGTAACACAGAAGAAGCCTGGCTGAACTAAAGCTCTTTAAACACAAACAATGTGCTTTGAGAAAGAGATCAGACAGTAAAGTCCAGGAAGTGCCGGACCTCATGCTAGCTTCCTTGAAATGCATGGAAAATGACAAAAACCACAACTATTCCTTCTGTTGGTTCAACAACAGCCAAAAGTGCAGGTGGGAGGAAGGAATAAGCCCTAGACTTTAGAAGCAGCATTCTCTTGAACAGTTGTTCATTTTTGCAAGAGGCATAAATATGTATGCTGTTTGAAAAATCAGTGCCTTCGCTTGACTTACATAAATAATCTTTTCTGTTTGCGTGTGAATATATGTAATGAAAACAGTCCAGAAGGTCTTATTTGTCCTATTTCCTTCAGTTGAAAAACACAGGAAGGAAACCACAGTTTCTATCTTGTCTCCTGACTTTGATATGCTATTCAAGATTTCAAGCAAAACAGAAAGGATTTTTTTTAATAATGAAAAAATATATAAAGAAAGAATGTTTTCACTCTTATTATAATTAATCATGATTCATTAGCATTGTATTTTATGTATTATACCACCTTGAGAGATGTAGTTATTCATTCCTAATTTATAGATGAAGAACATGTAGTAGAGACCAAGGGTATAAGCACTGATTTTATACAACTGCTAATCAAAGTGGTGGCCTGTAAGCAATTGGATGCCAGTCTGCAGCATGTTTCAATCGGTGCAAAATATAGTGCATTTGAGGGGAAAAAACAGTAATCCTCCAGCATCAAAGAACTTAAGAAGCACTCTCTTAGGTCACTCAATAAAATTAATGGATGAGTATGGACTGAAATCTAGACCTCTACTTAGACCTAAGCAGATCATAATGATAATAAATCAAGTACCTTAAATTCAGCTTTTCTCTTGTGGCCTGTCAACACCGTCAACATGTCATTTAAATAAACTTCTAAAGTTTACTGTTAAAAAATGTTAAATTATAGGAATCATCTATGCTCACCAGGAACACAATTTTCCTTACTTCAGGGGAAATAGCACGTAGCAAGGAACATTGCTCTGATACTGATAATTAATGATGTCAAATCCCAGGCAACTCAGTAGGAAGAGTTACATACAAACTGCATTCAAACAAGAAAGTATTTTCATACCATCCAATCATTGGAATGGGGCTTCTCCAAAGAACTTCTTGATGGATTGAGTTCTTAGTGATGATGAATATATCTACTGGTATATAAGTACTAGAACAATGAGAGAGGGGCCAGTGAAATAGCAGTGGCCATCACCTTGGGCCAAAGGAACCTTTTTTCTGAGGCTCAAAAAAATAGAGGTGTCTTAATGAAGCTGAGGAAATCTGCATGCATAAACTCACAAATTATTTAACATATGAAGATCTGCGAGTGTATTTCTAATACATTGCAAAGTACATTGACTGTATCTGGGTTGCACTGCTTTCAATTTTGAATATATAACCCCAATCTAAATGCAGGCACACCTAGCAATACCTAAAAATATCCAAAGTGCAATTATATTTAAATTGAGATGAAAATGTCAAAACTGACCCAAAGGCATGTATAGCTAAAGAAGAAACGAAAGGCAATCTCCATATAATGTAGGAAGACTTGGGGTTACATTAGATGATAATACTTAGCATCCTTACCTCATATTTTCCTTTCTTCTCTAAAGGCTCAGATTCTGTCTCTGTAGGAAACATAACATGGTCCCCACTAAGCTCCTCTAAGATGAGTACTGTCTCCCAGTTATTATAGTGACGAGCTGCAAAAATATCTGAGTGCATGCTGTCACCAAAGTAAACAACCTGGAAGGGAAACACCAAGACGGTTACATTCTAAATATAAGAGTATAGACCAGACCTGCACAACATATGGCTGAAGGGCCGAATGTAGCCCGCACAAGCTGTTGCTGCAGCCCCTTTAAATCAATCTTGACAAGAACACTGTGATAGGTTCATCTAAGGATCGCCCTAAGTCTGACTTGAAGGCACACAACAACAATCTTAATTGATCATTAAGTATACCTTACTTGCAAAGTGAAGTCCTAAAAATGTATTTGTTGCCCCAAGAGATTTAGCCTATTTAATTTTGGCCCTTTATGACTCAATTTGTGCCTGGTATAGACATATTTGATCATTCAAAAATCATACAATCAGAATTGCATCAGGGGTCAAGTGGGACCATGTTTATTGGTCTCATTCAGAGCTTAGAAGATTTACTTTTAAAAATCTCCCAGCAAAATGCTCACCAATTCCACTCCCTTTGTGGCATACCCACTGCTTGCAGAAGACGTAAAGTAGTTCGCAGCCTCTAGTTCAGTGGTTCTCAACCTGGGGTCCCCAGAAGTTTTTGGCCTTCAACTCCCAGAAATCCTAACAGCTGGTAAATTGGCTGGGATTTCTGAGAGTTGTAGGCAAAAAAAAAAAAACATCTGGGGACCCCAGGTTGAGAACCACTGCTCTAGTTGTTTTGGATTTTAACTCCTAGAAGCCCCAGCCAGCCTGGCCAACAGTCAGGAATTCTAAAGGTGAAATCCAAAACATTTGAAACACAAAAGATTTAAAACCATTGGTCTAAAGATATGAAACTGCTGTGCGTAAGTTCTCAGCGTAATGTATTATCAGGCTTCTAAATTGTCCATAGAGACAGTTTCTGTGTTTCAGATAGTCTTCCTCATTTGGAGGATGGTGGGACTTCATAACAAGAACACAGCTATCAAGCACTGGCAGGTCACTCCTCACAATTCTAATTATGTGACCTTTGATATCCTGAATACACTTTATGATAAGTATATACATTAAAAAAAACACACACACAAGGAAATGGGCCCAAAGATATATCTGTTGAGCATTCTGTTCACACACTGGCCAAGTGATTGCCTCTGGAGAGCCAACAGCACTTTTCCACTTGCGTTTCCTCACAATGGGTATCCCAAATCACAGATTTAACTATGTTCTATCTCAAACAATTCTATATTGTCAACAAACAATTTAAGTTCAGAATGACCCTCGGCCCCTATTCCGTGCCCTCTTTGTCCAGTCAAGCAATTTCATACACCACATTCATGCTCATACTTATTCACCTTTCATCCACTAATGTAAGCATCATCAAAAAATTTAATATTTTGTGGGAGAAGCATTTGATCCCCCCTTTTTGCAACTTTCACTGATTTATGATATTCCTACTAAGTAATTTTGCATGTGGCCAATTGCTAGCCTGAAAATAATTCAAAATCAAATGGAAAAAATTATTTTCAAAAGTTAAATTTAATGCTGTACATATGTTTATGTTGTGTGTGTAATGCATAATCATGTATTACCTACTGCTGTATAAATAGGTGGGAGGAATGTTATTATGCAATCCGTGATAAGGAGAGGGGACATGGCAAAAATATTTTTCTTGTCCCTCAATTACTTTTGGGAAACAAGAGTGACTCCAGAGAAGACAGACCGTAGATATGTGTGCATTATCTTATGTCTATACCAGAAATGATGTCAAATAAGATGTAGTACCGTATATTGAAATAGCTTAAAGCCTACATTGAAAATAAGAAATCAAGCACCAAACTTTATTTATTTATTTACTTCCTTACAATAATGCAAGCTGACAGGTAGGCAAGCTTTAATAAATGCAACTGGATTTCTTTCCAAATAGATTTGGATAAGATTGGTCTATAACATGCATTTTTATTTTGAATAAAACAAATTGCTAAAAGATTATGTCAGCTTGCTTGTTTTTTATTTATTTATTTATTTATTTATTTGCAGCTTTTATATTCCGCCCTTCTCACCCCACAGGGGACTCAGGGCGGATTACAGTGTACACATATATGGCAAACATTCAATGCCAATGTTTAACATACAACATATACAGACATACACAGAGGCTATTTAACTTTTTTTCTGGCCATCAGGGAAGCTGTCGCTTTAATTGTCCATCTGCGACGCTGATGAAGCACTTCCGCATTCCAGCACTTCCGCATTCCCCGCTGGAATGCTTTGCCATATTTCTACAGGAGTGAATGCTTTGTCTATAAAATTGTTATATGTCATGAAAGTTTCTCCCTGAGGTCTGTGATTAAAACTTATCTTCATTTTCTAAATACCTTTGGTTCTAGTTTGCCCGTCATCTTCTTCAGTAGTTCATACAAATGGGTTGAGTTACCTTGGGAGTACCATCCAGGTTTGTCTAAGGCTGGGAGTGCTTCTTGCTCCTCGTCATTCTCTGAAGAAATAAAGCATATTTCCTTATTTTAAGTGAAGATACAAAGAAGCCAAACACTCTTCTGGAATAATAGACATAAAGACAAATTTAGCAAAGTTGTAAAGTAAATTATATTTTTCTAGTTTATATATGTGAAGCATTAAATTTTTGAAGTCAATGCAATCTGAGTTACTTTTGATACGCTCTTCATGACAAAAATATTTTGAGTGTCTGTATGTACAATTTGGCTATATTTCAGAAAAAAGGAACTGGCAAACCGCCTATGAGTATTCCTTTCCTTAAAAATCTTATGAAATTCAATGGGTTGCCAAAAGCTGACAGGGGACTTGAAGACACATATATGCACACACATAGCTTACCCTAATAGATGTTTCAGCAAATATATACACACGCACATCTCATCCTAATAGATGTTTTATTTGTTTGTATGTGCAATCCGACATATCGTGATGACAAAATTGTAAGGAAGACCAAGTATTGGACCCGAGGAATGAAAGATTATTTTAAGAAAAAAAGGTAATGTCAAGTTCAGATATAACATTTTCTTCACTAGCAAGTTCCTGTGAATTGCATCCTTACTTTGGTATTGTGTATCTTTATGTGTACCAGGTCTGTTGTGTAAAAACAGATCTTAATGGTATGGGAATCATGGGGAATTATAGAGTATTCCAGGAACCTTGTATTTGGCAGATTGGGGGTGCTGAGGGATTTGAGCAAGTTCTATCACTTTCATGGCTATATGGATTACTGTCATGGACCCCCCACAGAGGCTTTTACTGTTTTCTTTACTGAGCCTCAGTTGTCCCTTTAGCTAGAATAGATTCAGTTCCTTTTTGTATAGTTTTCTCTGGGAGGGATGCTTAATTATACCGAGTGCTTTTAAGAAACCTCCCAGAGGTGGAGACTGCAGTCCTCAGCAACTCCTTCGCAGTTAGTCAGTTGAAGGGTGCCAAGGATCCTAGAGGCGGCAATAGCTTCCACATCAAAGGTTTAGGAGACTCATTCAGTTTAAAGAAACTAGGTCAAAGTTTAAGAAGTCTAGAGTTGAAGAAATTAAATTTAAAATTTGGAGAAACAAACTTGAAGTATTAAGGAACCAAGTCTGAAGTTTAAAGAAGAAAGGAGACTTAACGGGAGGTGTTAACAGAAGCCAAAGCCAGACAAGAGACACAAAAAAGAGGCTAGAAAAAAGGGTCTCTTTGAAAGAAATCAAGAGAAACCCAGTTAAGTTCCAAGCTTCGATCTGTTCCTTGTTAGTTAGACCCTGTTAGGAGTTAGGGTACTGATCTTCAAAACAATTAAATTACTTTTTTGTTTACTGTTACATCTTTTGTTGTGAGTCTCCAACTCTGTTCTTAGCTGAGAATAAGGCAGCTAAGGGAGAAAGAACAGGTTACTATGTTTAATCTGCATCTTCTGATTTATTAAAACAAGTGGTGAAATAAAAGCACAAGTGATGTGCACCAGAGTAAGTGGCTATGAAGAAAGAAACCAAGACAAAAATATGGGGAAAAAAACCAAAGTGTTATGAGATTCAATTCTATACACACTTAACTGGAGTAAACATCACAAACGCAGTAAGCCTGACTTATTTTCAACTAAACATGCCTAGGCTTGAATTATCAAGTATTTGTTCTCTTTCAGCCTATACAGGCACAAAGGGCACACCATAACCTCCTTCGCTCTCTTAACAATCAGCCAGGGCCTCGCACAGTCTTTCAGAAAGGGCATTTGTACACATATTAGCATTTTATGGTAGTGTCGACATGGAAAGAAAAAGAAAACTGTTTTCATCCCTTGCCAAGCTGCCAAAATAAGGTCTGAGTTAATACTTTCACAAGAGCAGCCAAAAATGGGCTTAACCAAGCATTATTTCCCAGTAGCATTTTTAAATGACAAAAGGCTGATTTCTAGACAAAATAGTTACCTATTAGAAATAGTCTACAAATTGGGGAAAGCAAAACTCAAAATAAAAACAGACTTTTTCTCCTTCAGTCATGAAGAAAGCCTATTTCCTTTTCATATTTCTTCTTCTTTTGTGCATAAACAAGCAATCAGGATTATGGACAAAGTACAATGTATATTTAGAACTTATCAGTTCCTGGTTTATTATTCCAGATTAGTTCAAACACATGAAATCCATTTGACTGCCCTTCTTTGTTCTATAATTGTATCCCTATTTTTAAAACACTTTGTTGTTGGACACTTTGAAATCATTTAAATAAAAATGCAATATTTATCTTTTTATCTTTTTTTCAATGGTTGCTTGACACTCATTTCAGGATATCAGGTCTTTCAGATGCATGGCATGTCCATGACTGTATGCAGTTCTTTAAAGGGTTGTTATAAAAGAAACAATTCCTAAAAATAACAGGAACACAATTCATTGTCCTGCTAACTTATTTATTTAGATTTATGTAGCTGATACATCTACATATGGGAAGAGCATATAGCTGTTTCTGAGCAGATAATGTGTATTATAATGTCCATATATATGGTCGCATAGGGAATGAGTAACAACTTTAATCCTAAACAGATTGTGGAGGAGAACATGGTTCTCTAAAGCTCTGTCAATATGAATGAAGGTTCTTGTCCTCCCTCATTTTCTAAACTGCAACTTTCAGCTATAGTCATTCTGGGTTGTTGTAGGTTTTTCGGGCTGTATGGCCATGTTCTAGAAGCATTCTCTCCTGACATTTCACCTGCATCTGTGGCAGGCATCCTCAGAGGTTGTGAGGTCATGATTTTGTTTTTACTGGTCATGATCACAAAACAGAACCTAAGACATGTAAAGGGGATGAGACTCTTGTCTGTCAGTTTTCTAGTTCCCACTGAATCTGGGGCAAAACCATGGACTCTTCACGCATGCTAAAACATGCTCCCTAACTCCAAACCGTGATATCAAGATGGGGAGGGCAGAAGATCTTTTCAAAGTGTTCCTTCTGGGATGACCATAGATTTTTTTCCTTAAGAGGAACATTTTGTTATTGCTCCCTCCTACTGACTGGAAAACTAAAACTTTCATCAGAAAGCTTTACCAAATTCTTTAAATAAAAGTCTCATTTTCTCTGTCTGAGAATACAGTATTTATTATTTCTCCCCAGATATTGCCAAAAATCACATATAGCCATAAAACTCTGCATTTTTGCAGCCTATTCTGAGAACTGTAAATGTGATTTCAGTCAGGAAATGGCATAAGAAGGAGAAAGCACCTGCAAGTACTGATGACACAGACATGTCTATCTAATAATGATCTACTTATCTAATGGTTATATCCATAGGGAACCCTGAAGAAATAAGCTCTAGAGCCGAACCCAAAAAATCAAATCTGTAAATCATCAACTATCTAAGTAAAGGGGTTACATGTAAAAACCTATGTCTCAATGAGTAAATGGAATTGTGTGATAACAGTCCTTAGTGTGTATGTGATATTTCTTCCTCAATCAGGAGAATAGCTAATGAGTGGCAACAAAAGGGGAATGGATAAAGGGTGCTGATCAAAGGAGGATTAAGTTCAGTTGAACCTTCTAGGGGTGTGGTGTTCAGAGTCTTAACTACTGTTGCCTTGCTTAAATTAAGACTTTTATAAACTTCTTGTTTTTAAACCGGAAATTTACATTTCTAGTTCAGAACAGCTATTCCTTAGAAATAAAATAAATGGAAGAGATGAAATGCTATTTGTTTGTAATGAGCACAACATTCCCCAGCATTTCTTAATAAACATACTAAAAATGCTACAGAAAGTACTATGCCACTTAATATAGTAATAACAATAAATTCTCAATATATGATAAGTTTGGTAAATCAATTTCCTCCAAAAGTCTACTAGAGGTTGACATTTTGTGCAGTTAATAACTTTTTCTTAAACGGAAAAGTTGGCTCACAGGGTGGAATGAATTTGACAGACAAGTACTGCCTTGGGAGGAATGGCAATAGCATTATGCCCTTCTAATATTTCATGAGATCAGGAAAAAATGCAATAATTATGGAAGGTTTGACAAATGCACTTGGTGTCTGATTAACACACTGGCTCTAATTTACCCAAGAAAGATAGTAAATCTGTAAAACACAACTGCTGGATTTCGTTTTCTAAGTTTTTTTTCAAGGTGTACACATAAGATACTTTTGAGACGTCACGTTTTATGTGTCTCCGAAAAATCAGAGATGGGGAGAAATTGCTTTGATTCCCATGTTCATGCAAATTTATTCCATTTACACTTCCTACAAACCAAAGTTAAACTGACATTTGCACTTTTCAGAATGTTGGGGAGTAGTTTTCCAGTGAGAAAAGACACAAAAAATTATGCAGTAGTGGAAAGTAGGCACAAAATACCTTCTCCCATATCCATTACATAGGGAGGGCCAGTGTTTGCTATTCAAATGGATCCTACATGTGTGTGATTCTAATGGAGAGAATCTATTTGTTTTTCTCAAAATTCCCAATTCCCAGATATATTCAGCGTATTGCCAGGGAGGTTAGCTGTGGGTTAAGCCATATTCAACTCAGCACTGACTCTCAGTAGAGGAGCTGAGAAGACAGCCACTGTGAGTTATAGGCAGGGGTTTAACCTTTCCTAATCCCTGTCTTAGATCCTTGCTGAAATACGATGCTCTCCCTGTCTTTTGGGTTATATTCATCAACAGAAAATCTCAGAACTAATTATAGCATGCTTTAAATAGCTGGCTTGATTAATGGCAATAAAAAGCAGAATGTGTTTCCTGTGAAAAATAGTTTATTTTAAGGACAAACTCTACAGAAAAAAATAGTAAGATATTTTTCAAGGGGGGTGAGCCTGCACAATTGAACAGTGAAGCTTTTAATGAAATCCAGCACACGCAGATGCGTGGAAACTATGTCTAAAGGAAGCGTTTTGGCAGTTGCTGCCAAGCTTGAATTTGTAAGGAATGTAGTATGCAAAACCCTTCATTTTTGTTCTCTCATTAATTGCTTCAAGTTCTGGTTTGAAAATCCTACTACTAGTTGTACAAGTGATGTAACT